GGATGAGTCGGAAGTGCCGTATAAAGTATCCGTGGGCGGGGGCGGCGACTCCCCCTACATCGTGACCGTCGGAGGAGAGCACGCTCTCACAGCCGGGGTCGACAGTATCAACGTTTTCTACGATTGGCAGGGCGCGTGGGCTAAGTGGGACACGTTGCACAGCAAGTCCCCCGTCAAGGAATTGAAAGAGAAGCCGCGCGAGCTGCTGGCCCGGGCGTCGCAGGGCAGGAAGGGAGGGAGTGTTGGAACGGGGATGCACAAAGGTGCCGGAAGGCGCCAGGGGGACTAGGAAACGGCCCCCAGACTAGTCGCACCGGCAGTCGGCACCTCTGCCTCTATGAACCCAGATCGGTTAAGGACTCAGTCCGCGACATCGCAGACCACATGTACATACACATGCAGGTCTCGTGCTGGCACTGGTTGCGGGGGCCCTGGCTTTCGAAGTGGGCCGCTGCGCCCATGTGGACACGATGTTTGTCTTGCTTCTTGGAACGTGGAGGGGCTGACTGAGGCGAAGGTGGAGGAGCCCCAGGAGCACGTGCACGCGCTAGACATCGATACTCTCGCAATTCAGGAAACGCACAAGCACGAGTCTGCTCTCAGTGTTACTGACAGGGATTTCTTGCTTGTTCTCTCTAGAGACGCCGGCGATCCCGACGCGGCAGGAGTCGGTTTCCCAGTCCCCCCTCGTGTCCGGAGGAGCGTCGGCGGCTTCGAGATCGTGACCGCGAGAATCTCCTATTTGAAGTTGCGCGTCCAGGGCGGGAAAGTCCCGTTTTTTTGTACTTACGCGCCCCATGACGGGAAGCCGCGCGAATGCAGACAAGACTTTTTTCCACCGGCTCCGCAGCGCCGTCGCCGGTAATTCCAAGCGCGGGCACGCCGCGGTGTTGGGCGATTTCAACGCCAGGTTGCATCGACGATTCGGTCGAGAAGAACGTTATTTAATCGCTTCGCTCATTCCGCCGGCGCATATTGTCGCACCGTTGTGGGCTAGCCGAGTTTGGGGGCCTCTTGGGGGCTGTTTTGGGGCCTCTTGGGGCCTCTTTTGGGCCTCTTGGGCGCCTCTTGGGGCGTCTTGGGGGCCTCTTGGGGGCCTCTTGGAGCCTTTTTGGGGCCTCCTGGGCGCCTTCTGGGGCGGAGGGCTCGATTTTTCAGTTCTCGGTTCCCCTCTTGAGCCCCTCTTGGGCCCGTCTTGGGGCCTCTTGGTCTGTCTTGGGCGGCACTTGGGCCGTCTTGGGGGCCCTCCTGGGCCGTTCCGGGGCCGTCTTGGGAGCCTCGTGGGCCGTCTTGGAGCGGTCTTGGGGGCCTCTTGGGCCGTCTTGGAGCGTCCGGAAGCCGAAAAAGCCAGAACGCAAAAAAACATAGAAAAAACAATGAAAATCAACGATTTTGGCCTCTTGGGGCCCTCTTCGGAGGCCTCTTGGAAGGCCCTTGGGGCGTCTTGGAGGCCCCTTGGGCTGTCTTGGGGCCCTGTTGGGCGTCTTCGGGCGATCTCTGGCCGTCTCGGGGACCTCCTGGACCGTCTTGGAGGCTTCTTGGGGGCCTCTTGGCCCGTCCTTGGGCCCTGTAACAGAACTCCGGCATCTCTGACCCGACCTAGCCGGGACCTTGCCGGGATACTTTTCGTCCGGGGACCCCCAGGGGCCGCCCCGCGCGCGCGAACTAGAAATACTGTTAACCAGGTACCGGAGATCTCAGCACGCCCTGGCCCGTTGGGCCTGCGAATTTAGGCGATAATATCGGAGATGCTCGTGCCGAACGCAAGCCGCCCTGCAACCGGAACGCGCTTCTAGAACTTTGCGAAGAGGAGGGCACGGTCGTCGCCAGCGCGTTCTTCGACCACCCCCCTGAGCACCAGATCGCCCGCTACAGTGCGGGGTCGCAGCCGGGGAGCCTGGCACCCCGCAGCATTTTGGCCAGATCGACTTTCTGTTGCGCGGTGTCGATTGCCTTCAGCGCGTCGCAGATATCCAGAGCAGGCAGGATTTTGCATTTACCTCGCGCCACTTCTTACAGCAGTGCCGCATGTGCCTGGGCGTCGCGATCTCCAACGGGAGGAGGTGCCTGAAGCTGGAATTTCGACGCTGGCAGACAGACCAGGGCAGCTGCAGTTCAGCGAAAGCTTCTCGCGCAACTTGCCAGAATCACGCCGCGAGCAAACGTTGAACGAGCTGAGCGCTGCCGCGGCGAGTGCTTTCGCGAACGCCGCTGCTGAGCGTCTTCCCCGCGCGCCGGCGCCAAAGAAACAGCCTTGGGTCAGCGGCGCCATTTAGGGGCTGATCACCGAGCGGAACGAGGCCAGGCGGCAGGGGGGCGCTGATCTCGAGGAGGGACTGCGTGGCATAATTAAAGTTTCCATCGAGATCGACAGAAGCAACTGGCTCGGCGAGCAGCTGGAGGCCGGCGATTGGGGGCAGGCGCGGAAGCTCCGAAGACCGCGCGGTGCGACTCAAGGGCGGTTGTGCGACGCGCGGGGCAGAGCAGTTTACAGCGACGAGCGGGCGCAGACATTGGCCGAATACTTCGCCACAGTCCAGTGGGCCGCCCGGCCAATAACTCCGATGGACAATTCGGAGCCGCTGGGACTGTCGCTGCCCGTCGCGGACGAGGTCTGCGCGGTAGCGCGCGCGCTGAGGGGGGGGCGCGCCGCCGGGGAAGGACGGCGCGCCCGCCGAATTTTGGAAGGCAATTTGCCACGCAGGCACATCGGCATGTGAATGGGTTGTTCTGCGATGCGACAAATGCTGGGCGGAGGCGTCTGTTCCTGAGGCGCGGCGCGAAGCAGCGGCGGCGGCCATTTTCAAAAGGGCGACGAACAACGGAAGCGCTATTCGTCGCCAGGCGGCTGATCGAGGACGCCATGGGCGCGGCCTGCGGACGCTTGCCCCTGCTCGCCCTCGGTTGGGCCAAGGCCTTCGGCAGCGTGTTGCCCGAGGGACTTCTTCAGGCATTGAGAGTTACAGCGTTTCGGGGCCCCGGGACGCATCGCCTCTGCCATGAAAGGGATCTACGAGAGCATGACTTTCTGCGCCCGTGATTCTGTTGGGACTTCTGGCCCCAGGCCTTCGGCGTCTCTCAGGGTTGCCCGTTGCCCCCGCTCTTGTTTTTGATCGCGATGAGCGCGCTGGCGCACGACGCGACGCGGCATTTCCAGACGTTTGGCTTCTATCAACATGACGACATGCCCTTCAACGAGCTAGCTCATCCACGCGGGCGACGCACTTCGCACTGGCGCCGAGGAAGCGTATGTCTCGCAGTTGACGATGTGCGTGAGGGACGCGGGGGAGCACTACGGTTTATCCTTAAACTGGAGCAAACTTGAAGTTATTCCGCTACGCTGCCATCCCCACGTCCAACGGCTGGATGGTCAGGCAATACTTCAAAAAGAATGCATGACACACCTTGAAGGCTTACTCTGCTCTGGCGGAGGACGTGGGCCTGAGTTGAGCAGGAGATTAGGCGCGGCGTATGAGGACTTTGAATCATTGTGCAAGGTGTGGAAGCACAGCGAAGTTCCTCTGAACAAAAAGAGGTTGCATTCTTGGACGAATGCGTAGTGTCCAAATTAATGCATTGCATGCGCGCGCGCTCTGGTTGAACAAGTCAGAACGTAAAAAGCTAGATCATTTTCAAGCGCGATGCCTGCGCAAACTGTCGGCATCCCACACTCACGCTATGGTCATTTTACCAACGCTATTGTGCTTCAGACTCGCAATCACCGAAAGCTTAATACCCAATTGGCTAACCGCCAAGTAGTGCTCATGGGCGAAATTCGCCCAGCTCCCCAGAGGGCAGCGTTGTGAGACGGTGTGTGTTCGCGCTGGCGTGCTTCGATCCGCGCTGGCGGAGTGGTCGCCGCAAACGGGGCCGACCGAGGAACTGTTGGAAACGTAATGTTTATGACCTGGCCCGGATGGCAGCTGGTAGCCAGGAGGCTTTGCACAGGCTTTGGCGTCAGGAAGGTGATGCGTGGCCACGCGTCGCAAAGCAACATGCTTCCTATATGACGCCTTTGTTTCCCCTCCTCTTCCTCCTCCTCCTCCTCCTCCTCCTCCTCCTCCCCTCCTCCTCCCCCTACTTCTCATGCTTCGCACGCTCGCCGTTTCACCCGATAGTTTCCGTTTCACCATTTCTGCCAACGCACCTTTGTTGTGCGCGGTTTTTGTCTGTCTGCTTTTGCCCACTCGTTCCTGACAAGCTTTCTCGGGGCCCATCCATCGCAGACCCACCAGTTGCTTCCAAAGCCCACCGCCCCAGGCGGGGATAGGTCCCGCGAAATTGGAAGGTGTGTGTATATATGTACACACATATTATCAAGTTTTTCAGTGAGGCCAGGGCCACGTGCGGATCGGTGATACAACGTTCAATCTAATAGATATAGAGGGTGAGAGAACGTTTGATGAAACAAGGCGATTGTGTGAAATAAATGATCGTTTTCATATTTGTATACGCCACACCAGCAGAGCACATATTTGGGCTCACTACATAAGGACGAGGGGGGCATCAAAAGCTTTGTGGGGGGAAGGAGGAGGCGGACGATGGGGAGGGGTTTGAAAAGGCGAGCCTGCAAATATGCGGCTTCAGGCACCTAAAAAGCACCCCGCTTACGCATCGAGCGTGCGTTGCAAATATGTGGTTGTTTGCAGATTTTTGAGTGGGCTGGCAGGCCATACTCGGCAACGAAACGCTACTGCTCAGTCGATGGCATGACCGTGGCCCCTTCGTTTGTTTTCCTCGGCGCGCTACTTCTCTTCATCCTTCCCGCCATTCTGAATTCCACCACTGCAGTCAACTTCACCGCGCCCGTCCTCAACCGTTCAGGTCCGAGCCATGGTCTCGGCTTGTGCCAAGAGGCTCGAAAGTGCTGCATGGCATACGAGGGCGCCGCTGCCGCTTGGTTCGGCGAGATCGATTTGCCCATCTTGGGCCCAGGATGGGCCGGCCAGGATCGGTGAGGCGGCCCGTTGAGGTCGCCCAAGAAGAAAGCGACAGGGGTGATGCGGACGCCGCGCGCCGTCTGCATCGTGGGCGCGGGGCCGGCCGGCCTGCAGTTGGGACATCTGCTGCTGCGCGACGGGTCCGCCTTGGCCGACTACGTGATCTTCGAGCGCAGTGGTTCGGCGGGGAGCTTCTTCGAGAGGTTCCCCGTGCACCGCTCGCTCATCAGCCTGAACAAGCGGCATGCGCGCTCGCGCAGCGAGGAGTTCCGCATGCGCCACGACTGGAACTCGCTGTTGGGCTCGGATGCAGCGGGCGTGAGGCCTGTGACCGAGAGGTCGGACGAGCTCTACCCGCACGCTAACGTGCTCGTGGAGTACCTCAGGGAGTACGCGGCCGAGCAGTCGGAGCACATCTCCACGCCCAGAGCATGCCCATACCCACGGGTCTGGTGGCGTGCCCCCCCGATGATCTCGCAGACCGCCGGATGTGAATACCCACACCCGCCATCTGAGGGCGCGGGAGGTATCCACACCCAGCGGTCCTCGGGGGCACGCCCTGCCAGACTGAGATCCGACATGGCGAAACAAATTCAGCACCGCGAACAAACAGCCGGAGCCCCAGACCCGTCTCTCTGCTGCATTTTTTGAGCGTGATCGACCTGTGATGGCCCTGGGGCCCGGAGCCAGGCGAAATCGCCCGGTGATAACAAATTGCATCGCCCGAGCCTCGGAGCCCGCCACATCGGCAGACGCGGACCCAGTCCTGCGATGCTTGATCTCTCAGCACGGGGTGGGGTCCCCGAAAGTCCCGACCCTTTCCCCAGGGCCGTTTTCTCATCCCGAGCCGTTTTTCGACGGCCCCGCAGCCCGGCGAGGGCGGCGAGGGCCTCCGCCAGCGACCAAGAACTATCCGTCATGTTTTTCACGACGCGAGCATGTCTGTGGGGAAGCGTCCTTGGCGTGGGGCATCGAGTACGGCGTGGAGGTTCGGCGGATACGGCCGCTGGCCGGCGAGGGGGGCTTCGAGCTCAGCGTGGAGCGCCGCGGCGGGGCCGAGGAGCCCCAGGGCTGCCGCCGCGTGGTGGTGGCCGCGGGGCTGCAGGCTCCGCACAGGCCCGCGGACGTCGTCGGCGAGGGACTCCTGAGGGGCTACGAGGACCGAAGGAGACACAGATCTCCAGCGAAATGAAAAAGTCAGGGCGGTGGTTGTTCGTCGTCTCCGGCGTCGGGGGGGCCCTCGCAGGACCCCTGGGAGCGTCAAGAACGATCTGGGACGAGGAGCTGGTCCCAGGGAAGGTGTCCAGAGCTCCGGGGACCTGGAAAAAGTCAAGACATCGGCAGTTTGGGGAATCTGCGAACACAAGAAGAAATCTGCCAGAGGTCCGCACAGATTGCTTGGATCGGCGTTGGGCCCCCCTGGCGGCGCGCTCCGCGCGCCGGGGAAGGGGTCCAGCGCCAAGCCAAGGCATCCGCGCGGGCCTCCGAGAGCCTATGTTTCCAGCGAGCGCTCTCGTGGAGGAGCTCGAGCCCAGCGGGCGGGCCTACGAGAATCGATCCGTGCTGGTGTGGGGGTTCGGCAACGCCGCCCACGAGACGGCCCGGGAGCTGCAGAAGCACACCCAGGCCATCCACCTGCTGCACCGGGCGCCGCCTCCGGAGGCCGCCAGCGGCCCGCCAGGTTTGATGGGCGTGTTTTCCACCACCACCACCATAAGTTTGAGGGGAGGGGGTCCTCCTCCTCCTCCTCCTCCTCCTCCTCCTCCTCCTCCTCCTCCTCCTCCTCCTCCTCCCTCTCCTCCTCCTCCCCTCCCCCCTCCAACTTATGGTAGTGGTGGCGGAAAACAGGCTCACCAAGGTTCGCCCCTCGGCGTGGGAGGGCTGCCCCGCTTCTCGGAGGAGGGCCGGCGGAGACCCCGGCAGCCCTTCCAGGCGATATCGTCGTTCTGCGGGGGCTTCACGGGGGCTCCTCGTCGCTCCGCGTCGAAACACGGGTCGGGATGGATCTTGGGCGAAGGATTGCAAACAAAACGAAGGATTGCAAAAAAACCGAAGGATTGCAAAAAACCCTTGGTTTTTTTGCAATCCTTGATTTTTTGTGCAATCCTTCGGTCTATAGGGACCGATTTTGAGCGGGTTGCGAAGGCCTCACGGCTGGTGCTGCCGACCCTGAGAACGACGAAGATGAAAACGGGGGGGGGGTCAGGGGGAGGAGGAGGAGTGGGAGGTGGAGGAAGGGTGGAGGAGGTGGATGAGGGAGGAGGAGGGGGGAGAAGGATGTGGAGGAGAAGCAAGAGGAGGAGAAGGAGGCAGAGGAGAGCAGGAGGAGGGGGAGCAGAGGGGGGGGAGGAGGAGGAGGAGGAGGAGGAGGAGGAGGAGGAGGAGGAGGAAGAGGAGGAAGAGGAGGAGGCCAGAGGCTTTCTTTGGACAGCCTGGGCCTCTCTTGAGGCCGTCTTGTGCCGTCCAGTGCTCCTCTTGTGCCGTATCGACGCACTCTTGGAGGCCTCCTGGCCAATTGGGGGCTCTCGTGGGCTGTCTTGGGGCAGTTTCTGGGCCCCTTGGGAGCCTCTTGGGGGCCTCGTGGGGCTGAGAGCTCGAAATGTCCGTTCGGGTCCCCCGTCTGGGCACTCTCCTGGAGCCGTCTTGGGGGCCTCTTGGGCCGTCTTGGAGGCGTCTTGGGCCGTCGTGGGGCCCTCTTCGGCCGTTAAGTTAGGGGACCCTCTTGGGGGCCTCTTGGGCCGTCTCGGGGCGATCTTGGGGTCCTCTTGGGCCGTCTTGGCGCGTCGGGAAGCGGACGAGGCAAGAACGCCAAAATCTGTCAAAAACGGGGGGAAATCCATCATTGTTGCCTCTTGGAGCTCTTGTGGGAAAGCTCCTGGAGGCCTCTTGGGGCGCTTTGCAGGCCTCTTGGGCCGTCTGGAGGCCGTCAAGGTGTCTTGGACATATCGTTCGGCGATTCGGGGTTCTCTTGGACTGTCTTTGGGGCCTCTTGGGGCACTCTTGGTCCGTCTTGGGGCTTTTTTAAGCTCCGGGACTCCCAGGGGGGGCGTGGTATCTGACCTCCCCCCCCCGGGACCCACCCTCCCCCCCTTTGCGGGGGAGGGATCGAAGGGAAGAGGCTTCCCTTCGACTCAATTACGACGTTGCTCAACTTTGCTTTGGCTGGCGCGCTGAGGAGGTCCCTGGGAAAGGGGGAGCTTCGACGAGCCCAGGGAAAGGGGGGAGGCAGGGAAAGGGGACGACAGAGACGACCAACGAATGACGGAGATGTTAACTTGAACGGACAAGCCCCTCACACACGCCGACAGGGTCGGCGGATTTAAGTTAGCCCGGGCGGAAGGGTTGCTGTTGTCTCAACTGGCCTTCCTCCGAGCTTCGCCTTCTTCACGCACTACCCTGGGGACGTTCGGACCGTGACGATGCACATCCCGAAGAAGAAACAAATGCACAAACATCAATTTTCGAAGTTCCGCCCGGACTTCTTGGATCTGCGCTGAGCCCCCCTGGAGGCGCCTCCAGCGCCGATCTGAGAAATCCGAGCGGACCTCCGAAAGTTTACATGTGTGCTGTCGTTTGTTCCTCTGATGTCTACGACTCGTACCTGCTGAAGGCCTTGGACGTCAAGCTGCCGTACCAGTCCGACGAGGAGCCCGTTTTCCTGCGGTGCCTGGGGTCGATGCTCTGCGCATGGGTCTCCAGGATTTGGCGACGATGTCTACAAACAACAAATAACAATAAACAACATGTGAAACACATTTAACATTTAGAACCATATCATAATAGAGGCATGGCAATGTTAGCCAGCGTGGACCCCAAACAGTGTGTGTTTCTAGCCATCTATGTTGTGCAATATATGTGGTGCAATCTACGTGGTGCCATTCATTCCCCAATCAGTGCTTGCACTGAAGGAGTCCCAGAGGAGATTGAAGGATTTGGCGGAAGTTGCTGGCCGATTTCGGTTGGCGGCCGGGTTCCCAGGTTCCCGGTTGCGGGTTTCCGGGTTCTCGGTTGCTGGTTCCGAGCCGATTTCGGTGGGCGGCGAGGTTCCCTGGTTTTTGGGTCGATCTCTTTATCGATCGGTCTCACCATCGATGTCATTATTAATTTCTGTATCGATCTCACAATCGATCGCATTATCCATCTCACAATCAATCTCACTGTAGATCGCGCGAGCGATCTCACTATCGATCTCACTGAATCGATTTCACTATGGGTCTCATGATCGACCGTACTATCGTCCTCACTATCGATCCCACTATCGATCTCATTATTGATATCACAATCGATCTCAATGTCCGAATCACGAATTTTCAAGCCATCCGCTGCTGGGTGTTTTTCTCTTGTGTACTGGTGCGCCATGTCTGTTGTGCAGTATATATATATATATATATTGCTAGGAAGTTTGTAGTTTTACATAGATATGTGATTATATAAAATATAATCAGACTGTCCTGGAGGATCCAGGAAATCCTGCAGCCCTTTGTTGCTCGAGGAAAAGAGCGACCCTCACCTCCCCCCTTTCTCCGCAAGGGGGGTGGGTGCGCGTGCATGGTAGCGGAGCTCGCTTGAGGATCGCGGGCCGCTCCGCACCCAGGCGAGCTCAAGGAGCCCCTCAGCAGCTGGCGGGACGATCCACGCGAGCGCCGAGAGGACCCCTTGCTAGTCAGAGCTGCGGTCAGACCCGCGCTCTGACAGTGGAGGCCAAGCAGCCACGGAGAAGGCCAAGAAGCCGAACAAGCGAGGAGGCAGGTCGGCGGACACGCGTCAGCACCGCGAGCTTCGAGGGACCGCCTTTAGGAAGCTCAAGGCGTGCGGCAGCAGAGCGCAGCTCACGCAGGAGGAGCGAGCAGCGGTGAAGAGGCAGCTGGCGAGCGACATCGAGAGGATTGGGAAGCGTGTCATCGACGTGCTCGACTATCAAGATGGAGCAGCAGCTGCAGCAACTGGTCGATCAAGTTCAGAGGCTGACGACGGAGAGTCAGAACATGAGACAGGAACTTCAGAACAGAGACGTGACGATCGCAGAGATGCGAGGTCAGCTTCAAGCTCAGCAACAGGCTCAGCAGCAGCGGGTAGCCCCGCGCGGCGAGATGATGGATCCGAAGATTCTTCACAAGGTGAAGCCGTTCGACGGCCACAGGGCGAGCTGGAAGACGTTCAGTTTCCAGTACAGAGCGTACCTGATCGCCCAGGATCGAAGGTACCGAGATCTTCTGGAAAGGTGCGAGGACGGAGCCCAGGAGGTGGACAACGTCAACCTGGACGCGCAGGAGGAAGAGCTAAGCACGCAGTTGTACTACGGCCTGGTCCTGGCGATGCCCGAGGACTCGGTAGGCGAGCTGATCGTGAGGAACAGCCCAGTAGGAGAAGGAGCCGAGTGTTGGAGGAAACTTCAGAAGGAGTACAACCCGAGCGAGGCAGGAAACGTGCTGGCGATGTGGACCAAGCTCACGGACACGAAGTTCGACACCAAAGAAGACGTGATGGTGAGCATCAGCAAGCTGGACGAGGACATGACGAGGTACCAGAAGATGGCAGGAGAACCAGTCTCGGACCTGATCAAGCGAGGCATCCTTACAAAGGCGCTGAAGGATTACGACGAGCTGCAGAAGCACGTGTTTCGGAACAGCAGTCGGTTAAGTACGTACGAGCTCCTGAGAGCCGAGGTGGTGTCGGCGTTGATGGCAGAGCGAGCGGTTCAGGACGACCCGATGGAGATAGGAGCGCTGAAGGGCGGAAAGAGACCGTGGAAAGGCCGCGGCAAAGGGAAAGACGGCAAAGGCAAGGAGAGGCCACCGAATCCCGACGCCGAGATCGAGTGCAACTACTGTCACAAGAAGGGCCACCGCAGCGCAAACTGCCGAAAGCGGATCGCCGACGAGAAGAAGACATCCGAGAAGGACAAGAAGGACAAGAAGCAGCTCCGAAAAGAGAAGGTAAAAGAAAAGAAGAAGATCGGGGCAGCGGCAGTCAGGGAGCTCGAAAGGTTACGACAGACAGGAGTGGGCACAGGAACAAGCTCGGCAGTACCTACACAACAGATGCTGGGAAGTCAAGGAAGCGCCGACAGCGCGATGACTCAGCAGGTGCTGCGCCCAGTCAACTGTGCGCTGCAAGCGAAGATGATTCTGGCCCTGAGGGCAGAGGTCTCAAGAAGCGCAGCCACACGATCGACTGGAAGTACTGCTTGCCTAGCTACCACCAATATGTCTGCTGCTCTTGCAAGAAGACCTTTGAAGGATGGCGATGGCACTTCGATCAGTGGAAGCTGGACTACTGTGCCGCGTGTGCCGAGTACTGCCTGGACAACTGGTTCAAGGACGAGGAAGAGCCAGACGACAACGAGAAGCCAAGACCAAAGAAGCACAAGAAAGACTATCAGTAAGTGCTGCGATGTGCCAGCTGCGGTGAGCCCCGCGCTGGCCGGCCCCAGGCATGTTACCGTCGCTGGTCTTCGGCCCGTGGATGAAGATCAGAGTCCTGCAGATGACCGATTGCGGTTAGCCCCGCTTCGGAATGCGATCATGCTCGACTCAGGTGCGCAGATCAGTGCGATACCGAGATCACAGGTGACCAAGCATAACTACACGCCGACGGAAAGCAACGTTGTCGGCTTGAAGGGCATAGGAGGCGAGGAGATCGAGAGGTACGGCCACGTGGAACTGAACCTATCCCGAGGAGGAGAGGTTATTCAAGTCGGTGCTGAGGTTGCCGATGTGGAGTACCCAGTTGTGGCTACAGATGCTGTAGTACAACGTGGTCAGAGTGTTCTTCATAGCCCTGCAGGTCACTGGATCATCAACGGTACCATCGAGCCACCTGACGGAGCTGAGTTCGTACCTCTACGTCGTCACCAAGGCAACTACTACTTAGAGTACGATCACATCATCGACGGCCAGACTCAACCAGAAGCTTCAAAGGTAGCTGCGGTACGAAAGACGCTACCGAGGAAGGTACCAGCTGAACAGGAAGCGGGATCTTTGCCGAAGGTTCTAGGTCCTGAAGCTGATGAGACCACAACTGTGCCAACGAGAGTGTTGAAGACTCCTCACCAACCTAGTGCTGCGGAGAGAGCCGCGCACGAAGGGCATCATCTACCTTTTCGGCCTTGGTGTCCCATCTGCGTGCAGGCTCGAGCAGACGATGACCCACACCACGCTCAGGAACCAGCTGATGAGAACAAGATCCCGAAGGTGATGTTCGACATGTTTTACGTAGGGACGGACCAGCTGGCTGCGAAGTACAAGCTTAAAGGAGGTTACTTCAGCATCAGGGAGAAGATGTCGGTCACGAAGGCCGAGTTAGACCAAGCGGTCTCTGTCTTGAATGTTATCGACTGTAAGATCTTGGCTCAGGCGACGTTGTACGCGAACAAGGAGACGGATGACTACAAGGTGTCCTTCCTGCTAGGCGTGCTGGAAGCTTGGGGCCACACAACAGTCATACTTCAGACAGACCAGGAGCCTGCCACCATGGCTCTGGCGCAGGCAGTTCGAGATCGCAGATCACACTCAACCTTGGTGCGGGGATCACCGCCCTTTTCCAAGCAGAGTGCAGGCTACGCTGAAGGAGCTAACAAGCTAGCAGCTGGTCTACTTCGAGCCTACAAGCTGAAGCTGGAGCACAAGCTGGGCTGTGAGATCAAGATGACGGATCCGATCGTGCCATGGCTTGTGAACTCAGTGGGGTGGATGATTACCAGATTCCAGCCTCGCAGTCACGGAGGTTCCTCCTACAAGATGCTCTACGGCAAAGAGTACAACGGCGAGATTGCGGAGATGGGTGAGCAGGTCTGGTATCGGATCTCAGCCAGAGTTGCCGCGGGACGTGGCAAATGGGAAGCCCGCTTCGCAAAAGGAATCTGGGTTGGTAAGAGTGAGCTGGACGACACACATCTCGTGATCGATCCTGAACGTGGAGTGCAGAAGGTCAGAACGGTGCGAAGGATGCCTGAGGAGTTCAGATGGCAGCCCGAGCTCATCCAGCACATCAGGGTGACGCCCTGGAAGCAGACGCCCGACAAGAGTTCAGGAACGATCGGACGCAGCATGTACATCACGGAGCGCATGATCGATGCTCATGGTCCTACTGACGAGTGCAGGAAGTGCAGTACAGGATACGGTTCGCATTCGGCAGCCTGCCGACAGCGTTTCGAGACCATTCAGGCCGACTTGCTGCGCGAGAAGTTGGCAAAGGACCCTGTGGCCCCTGAGGCTACAGTCGTGGTGCCAGCGCCGGCTGCGGGTAGCCCCGCGCCTGGAGCCGCACCAGGAGGAGCAGCGGCATCAAGCAGCAGTGAGGTTGCGGTGAGCCCCGCACCTGCTGCCAGCGACGTAGCTATGGTCCCTGGCCCAGGAGAGGCTGAGGTGCAGACAGCCATGGACACGGAGAGTGGAGAGCTCAGGAGCGACTTTCGGCGAAGTGCCCCAGATGAAGTTCGTGAAGGAACTGAGGTCAAGAAGCCCAGGGTAGCAAGCATTGGGCATCTCTCTGTCTGTGAGTTGGCAGTCTGCGAGGAGGGCTACGACGAGAGCTTCGACCCCATGTGGGATCCACACCCAAAGCGCAGTGCGAGATGTTCCGAGAGGTGTGAGAAGCACTCATCACGATGCCAGCTCCGAGAATGCCACCAAGCTGAGTGTGCATGCAGGAGATGTTTGATGAGCCACATTGGCACAATCAGGAGCCACTTCGGAGATCCTGAGGATCAGCAGGTGGAGCAGATGGTTGAGGTGAGCGCCGAGCTGCATGAGAAAGACCAGTGGAGCCCAAAGACGATACACTACGATTACTATACTGGAGAGCCTCTGGATGAGGACCTGTATCAGAAGGGTCGCGACGACGAGCTGCAAGCCATGAAGGACTACGGGGTCTACGTGGAAGTGGCGACATCGACGGCGACTGACGGCAAGCACATTGGAGGTTTCCCGATAGCCCACATGAAAGAAGGAAAGGTTAGGTGGAGGTTCGTAGCCACCGAGGTGAACAAGTACGAGATCAGGGAGGACAACCACCAAGGCACGCCCCCGCTCATGATTGTCAGAGCGACGCTGAGCCGTGCCGCTTCAAGTCCAACTTCCAGCGGGCAGCACCTGCGGAAGATACAAGTCTGGGACGTCAGGAAGGCTTTCTTCAACGCTGACTTAGACGAGACGATCTACGTGCATCCTGGGAGAGAGCTGTGTCCGCCTGGAAGGTGCTGGTGGTTACGCAAGGCCATGAACGGTACCAGGAAGGCGTCGCAGATGTGGGGTGAGCTTGTGAGAACTACTATGGACGACGGCCATTGGGAATGCTTGGTTGGAACTCCTAACGTGTTCTACTTACCTGCTAGCCCCAACACAGCCCCCGTCGACGAGGATAGCACAGCGATCTGCCATGGCGATGACTTTCTTGCTGAAGGCTACGACGAGCAGCTGGACGAGCTCGACGAGTTATTGAGGCAGCAGTTTGAGGTCACGGCCAGCGCCAGACTTGGACCAGGAGCGGTGGGGCAGACTACATACCTCAAGAGGACGATCGGCTATACTGACAAGTTGCCAGGTTGCGAGGAGCCAGGTTTCTTCTGGACTGCCGATCCCAAGCATGTGGACTTCATGATCAAGTGGACGCAGAAGCGAGGTTGTAAACCAGCTCCTACTCCAGGAACGAAAGCTACAGGACAAGGACGACGAGACAGCCTAGACCTTCTTTCCAAGGATCGTGCTCGAGAAGTGGCGGGTGCAGCAGGCACCGCTCTTTACCTTTCTTCGGACAGGCCCGACACGATGTACGCCAGCAAGACAGCGATGCAGCATGTCTCCAACCCGAACGTCTTGATGCATGCGCGTGTTCAGCGACTTGGAAGGTACTATGAAGGCCAGCATGTGTTGGTCTGGTGTTACCCACTTCAAGGTACTCCTGAGGGCATTCGTGTAGATGGTGACGCGGATTGGGCACCTACGAGTGAACTACAGCGGCGATCTACCAGTGGAGGAGCTGTGAGGTATGGCGACCACACTTGGGACTGCTACTCAGTGACGCAGAGTACGATAGCCCTAAGTTCAGGGGAATCCGAGATGTATGCTACGGGAAGTGCGACAGCCAGAGGACTTCAGTGTAAGACTTACCTGATCGAGACCCAGAGGCCCTGCAACCTGAAGATCTATAGTGACAGCACAGCTGGACGTGGCATGTGCAGCCGAGTTGGGGTGGGCAAGGTCAGGCATCTGGAGCTGAGGTACTTGTGGATTCAGGAGCGGTTGCGTCTCAAGGCGTTTGAGCTTCACAAGGAGGACACCAGCAAGATGACAGCCGACATGCTCACGAAGTACAGCGAGTGGCCGACAATCGAGAAGCATTGCACCACTCTCAACCTCAGGTTCGGAAAGCAGTTGATGGGCTTGAGCGCAATGGCAGTTTTCACGGAGGTCGTGACGAAGGCGTCAGGCGAGAAGGTGACAGTGTACGGAGGTTCTGACGAGGTTGCGGTTTGCCCCGCACCTGTCAGCCACTACGTGGACCGCGAGGAGTTCTGGTTCTACCTGATGATAGGACTTGTTGTGGTGACTGCAGCGAGTGCTTTCTTACTGGGGTGCTGGTGTGGTTGCTACTTCAAGAACTTCTACGACAAGTTCCTCCTCCAGGGTGCGGTTAGCCCCGCCTCTGGAAGCACTTGCCCACCATCTGCGCGGGCTGACGTCGAGTTCAAGACCGTGTGTGCACAGCAGGACAAAGGTGCAAGGCACAAGCTCTTGAGCACGTTTCTTGTAGCCGAGCTGCGAGCTGTCTTGAAGGCCAAGGGCCTGGCCGTGTCAGGGATCAAGAAAGACCTGGTCACGAGGATGATCAAGCACGGATGTGTTCTGTCAGATCGCCAGGCCAAAGAGATCGAGCAGCTGCGGGTGATGGCTACAGCGTATGGACCTCTTGCCAAGCTCAGCTTGCAGGACATCAGCAGTCCAGAGGCCGCGCAGAAGTGGATCGAGACGTTCAAGGGCGAGTGCCGAGACCGTTCCAGAGGCTCTCAGGTGATCCACGGAGAGGGCTAGGAGAATGGTCGCAGGAAGCACTACGACAGCCGAAGGTGAGCTTTGTTTTACAGGCTGCGGTTTGCCCCGCGCCTGCCCTCTGCGGTTAGCCCCGCGGTGAGTTTAGGTGGCCAGCGCCGTTGCAAGGCCTGCCAGGGGAGCACAAAGAGGTTTCCCTACGGCTCACTTTTCTTGGCTGGAGGCCGAGCCGCTTCCGGCGCCCAAGGAGAGGTGCTAGGAAGTTTGTAGTTTTACATAGATATGTGATTATATAAAATATAATCAGACTGTCCTGGAGGATCCAGGAAATCCTGCAGCCCTTTGTTGCTCGAGGAAAAGAGCGACCCTCACCTCCCCCCTTTCTCCGCAAGGGGGGTGGGTGCGCGTGCATATATATATATATATATATATATATATATATATATAGATATTGTGCAGTCTATGTTAAGCAATCCATATGGTGCAATCAATATGGGGAAATATATGTAGTGAAGTCTATGTGGTGCGCAACCCATTTGGTGCACAACCCATGTGGTGCAATCGAAGTGGTGCAATCTGTGTGATGCATTCTATGTTGTACAATATGTGTGGTGCAATCTATGTGGTGCAATCTACGTGGACAATCGACGTGATGCAAGACATGTGATTCAATCTGTTTGTCAAACTTGTATATATTCCCTTTGCTATATTTTTACAATCCGGGGGGGTGGGAAACCCCCCCCCCCCCCCCCGCGGAAAATCGGACCCCCGGGATCTGGCGCTTTTGGGGCCCCCTGGACGCCTTGCAATGGGTCCCCCGGGCCTTCCGGGCCTCCTGGACGCCCCTGCCGGGCCTTGCCAGCGGGCCCAAAGCGGTAAGGAGGGCGGCCAAACGGCCCCGCGAGAGCCCCACGCGGCCCCAGACAGCCCCAAGACGCCCGAAGAGGACCCAAAGAAGACCACCAAGAGGTCCTCCAAGTGCAAAAAACAACACTTTCCTTTAGTTTTTTATGGAATTTATGGACATTCGGTTCTTCGGTATTCCGTGCGTCCGAGTCCGCCGAAGAGGCCCCAAAAATCTTCCCACAACGGTGTCAAAGGGCTTCCAGACAGTCCAAAAGAGCTCCAATATGGTCCAACAGGGCCGCAAGATGGCCCCAAGAGAGCCCCGCTGACAGCCCCAGATGGCCCCAAGACGCCTCCCGAAGCACTCCAAATCGTGACCCGGTCGTTCAGGGAGACCGTGGTTGGTAGCAAGGTGGCCGCAAGAAGCCCCCAGAGGCCCCCAAAAGGCGCCCAGGAGGCCCCCAGAGGTCCCCAAAAAGCTTTTGAGAGGGGCCCAAGAACACCTCCAAAGAGGAGCCCCTGCAATAAAAACTGGGGATGAGGACAAGGAGTGGCTCGCAGACAAGGAAGATTACGAGTAAGAGGAGAGGAAGTATAAGGATAATACATAACATTACTATAACGACGATGGCGCAAACGGCAACAATGAATCATCGCTATATTTGGTTATCCTGCATGCCGAGCTTTAAGAACCAAGGTGCATGGCGCGAAGCGCCAATGCAGTCTTGTATAATTATATATATATATATATATATATATATATATATATGTGGTGCAATCTATGTTGTGCTATGTGGTGCACTCAATGTGATCCAATCTAGGTGGTGCGCAATCCATGTGATTCCCCGATCAGTGCTTGCACTGAAGGGGTCGTAGCGGACGTTGAAAGATTTGGCAAAAGTTCTTGGCCGATTTCGGTGGGCGGCCGGGTTCCCGGGTTCCTGGTTCCGGGTTTTAGTTCCTGGTTGTTGGTTCCGGGCCGATTTCGGTGGGCGGCGGGGTTCCCGGGTTCCTGGGTTTTTGGTTCCGGGTTTTAGTTCCCGATTGTTGGTTCCGGGCCGATTTCGGTGGGCGGCGGGGTTCCCGGGTTTTTGGGTTCCCGGGTTTTTGGTCGATCTCCTTATCGATCGGTCTCACCATCGAGTTCATTACCCCATTCTCTATCGATTTCGAAGTCGATCTCATTATCGATCTCACAACCGATCTCACTATAGATCGCACGAGCGATCTCACGATCGATTTTACTGAATCGATCTCACTGAATCGATTTCACTATTGGTCTCACGATCGACCTTACTATCGTTCTCACTATCGATCCCACTATCGATCTCACAATCGATCTGTTTCCATATCACTAATTTTCAAACCATCCGCTGCTTGGGGTTTGTATCTGGCATACTGCCATCGACGTGGTGCAACCTGGGTGGTGTAATCTATGTGGTGCAACCTATGTGGTGCAATTCACCCTGTCGAACTTGGAATTGTCAACTCCACTGCTCGCGCGCAATTATCCCACCCACCCACGCGCAACGTTTGCCAAACCCATGCGGCGGAGATCGTGATGACTGCTTGGCGCTGGCTAGCGTATCGTTGCGGCCGCGCTAGCGCGCGCAGGCTCGCGCGCAAAGCGGCCAACTAGTCTTGCCCGACCGACGCGGCCGCGGTGGCGCTGATCAGTGAGGACTTCCCAGCGCGTCTCACAGGCCGCGCTGACGCGCGAGCACTTCAATTCGAGTCGGTGATTCGGGCGGGCGCGGTATCATGGCGACGTCGACACCGACAGACACAATAATAATAATCATACTAATAATAATGATAGCGATGCTTGTGACTACGATGACGATGACGACGGCAAGGTCAATGACGGCGTCGATGCTGACATGCCGATGGCGATGATGATGTCCACGTGTCGGCGATGAAAGTTTTGGAAGGATTTCGACATGCGCGCGGGGCCGACGGACGCCAGTGGCCCGCATGGTATTCTTTGACAGAGATCGCGACTCCCCCCCAGCACGCGCGCAAAGGCGATCGAATGACTTCGACACGAGCGCGCTGCAGGCCCTTTTGGTCGCATTGGACGAAAAGTGACAGATTTCTGGTCTTTTTATCCCAAGAATTTGCAGTAGCGCGCACGCAGACTGTTTTGTTTTGAGAATAACATTGCGCAGCTATGTGTGTTTAGTTGTTTTCGGGACACTCGATTTTGAAATCCTTACGGCACATGTGCGCGCGACGACGCGCGCGTTTGCACTTCGTCCAGTTTGTTGCAAGGGCTTTTTTACACATTGATCGTTCTAGATAAGCGGGTGTGCTCGCATAGTGTTAGTGCACGAGGATGAAGGGGGAGAACACGGCTTGGCTGGAATGGTACGAACTCACATTTAGAATGATCGATAGGGCAGCACTGCCATATGCAAGTTTCACATCCCCAGGGCGAACGGGTAAGTCCGGCCTGGGGAGGGTGGTGGATCCTCATTCTCTTTTTAAGGAGAACCGACGTGGTGCAATTTGTGTGGTGCAACTTATGTGGTGTCCTACTGTGAAGACCTTGCGGCTGGTGCCGCCGACCCTGGAAGAAGACTCCCCTGATGAATGTAACAGCCAGAGGTGTTCGGGAGGGTTTGGGCCAGACGCCCCGAAGAGTTACCCTGAAGCCCCATGAGCTCCCCAAAGAGCGTATGACGAGGAGCCCAGCTTGGCCAAGCTTTCTGCTTAGGTGCCTTCGCACCCGTGGAGGAGGAAGAGGGGGGAATCAGGAGAGGGAGGGGGAGGAGGGGGAGGAGGAGGAGGAGGGAGAGGAGGCGGCGGAGGAGCAGGAGGAGGATGAGGATGAGGAAACACAGGAGGAGGAGGAGGAGGACGAGGAGGGAGGAGGAGGAGGAGGAGGAGGAGGAGGAGGAGGAGCAGCAGGAGAAGGAGCAGGAGGAGGAGGAGGAGGAGGAGACCTCTTGTGAGCCTTGTTGGGGCTCCCGGAACTCCCTTCCGGCAAACACGTGAGAGAGACCGTGAGTGCAAGCACCGCTTGGGGCAGAACAGGCGACGCGCAGATCCACCGCCGCTGGCCAGGGCCCCCCTGGGCCCAGGATCGGTGTGTGCGCCCCCCCTGCCACGACGGGGGGGGGCGTATACATTGTTCGCGGGCCCAGGGTGGGCCCGGCCAGCGGCGTTGGATGTGTCCAGGTCTCGCCGCCCTACAGGAGCGAGCGCTGCGGGGGCGGCGGCGAGGAGCGCCTTGTGCTCCCGCGGCTGCTCGCGCGCGCGGGCGAGGCCCGCCGCTGCGCCGTGGAGGTGGTCTGCGACCACCTGCGAACCTCACCAAGACAGGCCATTTCAGGCCAGTCTGGTCCAGATTTCGTAATAAAAGGGAGGGGGTCTGGACCCTCCAAGACAAGCCATTTCAGACCCCCCCCCCGTGGGAGAACCCTCCAAAACATCGTCCCCAGACCCCCCCAGGCCCTCCAAGATAGCCTGGAAGAGACCCCCCCGAAATGAGACCCCCTCCCTTTATTAAATTACGAAATCTGGAGTACCCCTGCCCTGACTCTGGATCCGTCCTGAACGGCAGCCAGTGCGCCGAGTTATGGCCCCAAAGCCGCCACGGTGATTTCCGTCCTACTCCGTCTGCTTCCGCTCCACTTTCGTGGACCTCCGCCCTATCTTGTGCACAATGTTGCGGAAGTGTTCCACGAATCTGTGGAACTTTCCGCAAAAGTAGGGCGGAAGTGTCAGCCTTGCATTTTTGAAGCGTAGATTCTCGCCATACTTTATTGCACCCTATGGGATCCATTCCGACACAACAAGTGCAAGTCGGAGAATCAACCAACGGACGGCGGATCCAGAGTCAGGGTAGCCCTGCGGGTCCAATCGACGCTGAAGTGTCGGACACCCCTGCTGGGGTTCACCTGGCTGGCAGACATCCCTCAAGTTCGGAGCCCCGACCGAGTTTTCAGAAGTCGGACTTCCAGGGGTAGGGCCCACACGTGAGCGGCGCAAACAACGGGCTCGATTGCGCGGACATTCGTGCCCGAGCTGCCCGCGTAAGGTCGCGCGTCAGCGCCCTCGTCTTCAATTCAGCGTGCCGCGCTGGCGGCCCGCGTAAGCCAACGCGTAAGGTCGCTTATGTATCGCGTTCGTCCAGCTTCTTTTTGTCGCTCACGCCAAGGATCGACGCAGGAGTTGCTAAGGGATAGGGGACTCAAAAGTAGATAGCATGGTAGCCATCTTGGCTCAAGCGATCCGGCTCACACCTAGCATATGTAATTCCTTTTTCCCCATATTCTATCCCACAATTTTGAATCTCTCGTCTCTCATTTGTGCGACATAATTGTATACGACGCTGGGTATTTCAAACATGGAGAAGTGTGGAAAGAAGAAGGCCGACTCAAGCACGGGCTCGGCACCCAAGGATCAGAAAATGAAGGCTGACGGAGGGAAACAGGATGAAGTGCCAAAGGAGGTAGGCATAGATGAGGAAGGCGAGGAGATCCAAGACGGAATGTAGATTGAAGAGTATCGATGACGGCATCAAAGACATCAGCATAACGAAGTCCAGGAACCCCACGAAAATGGCAATGATTACGTTCCCGACCGTATCAGCGAAACTGGAGTCCTACAAAAAAATACCACAGGATGGAAGACAACAAATGGTTGGACGGTGTATTTTCCAAAAGCAACCAAACTACGGAGGAGCAGTTTGCTGACAAACTGTTGGGCTACACAAAATACCACCTATGCAAATATCCGAAGCATCAGAAAGACACAGTGTGGATCTTCTGGGGCAAGCGGGTGGTCACCGTCAACGGGAAGAAGGTGGCGTGGTACAACGAACACGGGGAAGGGAAAACGACTACAGTGGGCAAGGCTGCGGAGGAGAAGGTGCGCCATTCATTGAATGTTTTTCGTTCCAAAAACACTTTGGACCCAGACCCCGACACGGACAGTGATCTGTAGAGCCGAGAGTTCTGAGAGAGCACTACTTCAAAACGGCGGCGCTAACGCTCACAACACAATCGACATGGCAGCGCAATTTTGCTCTGCAGGTTCCTCCCAGCCTATCGTTTCAACAGGCAGCGGAACGCCCCCTACCAGGACGGCCTCTTCAAGACCATCCTATTTTTCGATATGAACATGTTTCACCAACGACTATCCCATTCTCCACCCCCCACCTCCAAGCTTTACGATTCCGGTTCTAACCTCTACGATTCCAGCTTCCAATCTCCAGCTTCCTACCTCCATGCTTGCGAGATCTGTTTCACCACAATTTTCACATCAATCTCCATATTCCGACCCCGGCTCGTTCTCCCACATCCCCGGTTTTAAGATCGGGGCTTCCGACCGCCGCCGAAAACATTCGGGTAACGAGGGTGCTCATGCCGCCCGGCCTCACGCCCAGCTCAACCAAAGAGGACGGGGAGGGGGACGACGAGCCTGCAGTGTCGTGTCAGGCGACGTTCCGTCATACATTTTTTGGTTCCGGGGCATGGCATCCGACTCCAGCCAGACGGGCTTCGACGAACAGCGTGCGGGTCAACACTCGCCAGCATCCACGTCCAGCCTTCGGCCTCCGCCCTCCGACTCGCAAGTTCGACCGCTCCACGTCCAACCACCAGACTCCGACTCCCAGCACCTAGTACCACCCACCTCCAGCCTTGGACCTCCGCCCGCCGACTCACAAACTCAACCAGTCGACCTCCAACCACCAAAGTCCGACTTTCAGCACCCAGTATTACCCATAGCCAGCCGTGGAACTCCCCCCGCCGACTCACAAATTCAACCAGTCGACCTCCAACCACCAAAGTCCGACTCCCAGCACCCAGTACTACCCACAGCCAGCCTTCGACCTCCACCCACCGATTCAAAAAAAACTCAACCAATCGACCTCCAATCACCAGAGTCCGACTCCCAGCGCCCAGTATTACCCACAGCCAGCCGTCGAGTTCCACCCACCGACTCACAAATTCAACCAGTCGGCTTCCAACCACCAGAGTCCGACTCCCAACACCTAGTACCACCCACCCGCAGCCTTCGACCTCCACCCACTGACTCACAAATTCGACCAGTCGACATCCAACCACCAGAGTCCGTTTCCAAGCATTTAGTGCCACCCACCTCCAGTCTTCGACACCACACCACACCACACTACTCCCACGCATATATCCCGCACCACACCACTACATTGTTACACTCTTCAGGCTTGTCTCCGCCCAGTGCGCCGGCAGGACACGACGGGCCACGAATTGCAACAGGACAGCCTCACCAAGGACATGTTCCACCGACTTCGGCTCCGACCTCGCAGGTGCGCGGGTCCACGCGGCCCCGGCGCGCGGCGGCTCTGGGGCCCAGTCGGTTCCCAGCCGCAGGTGCAGACCAACGAGGTTTGTCATCTCACGGACGCATGCTGTCCGTCGGCCTCGCGTGGCCAGGCGGAGCCAATGCGACCATCGCAGGTGCGCGGGCCCAGTCGACCCCAGCGCACTGCAGAGCTGGGCCCAGTCGGCTCCAGCCGCAGGCGCAGGCCAATGCGGCTTGTCATCGCGCTGGCGCATATTGCCCGTCGGCCTTGCGCGGCCACGCGGTGCCCATTATGCCCGGAGGCGCGCGGCCGCATGTCAGTCGGGCCACTCGTGCCGATTTCGGTGGCTTCGGGGCCCAGAGAACCCCCCGACGTAGGTGCAGGCCAGTGCGGTTTGTTCTCTTGCTGGCGCTTGTTGCCCATCGGCCCCAGTAGCCATGCGGGGCCATTGCGGGCCCCGCCTGTGCGCTGGCTTTCTCGGCCCGCGGGAGCTCGGCGGTTCTGGGCCTTGCCAGTCCCTGCCGCCGGCGTCGTCCAATGCGGCCAGTCGTCGACTCTCGGTGGCTTTCTGCCCGCCGGCCCATGCGGCCAGCTTCGGTCGGGTGCGTCGGCGCGTTGCGGCGCGGCCGTTGCTGTTGCGCTGCCACTTCGTTCCGCCAGCGTTCGGCGCGGCGGCGGTCGATGGCTGATCGTGCGGCGCGCGGGCCCGCAAAGCGCCGCCTCGCGATGGCCGAAGCGCAACCGAAACCCTTCGCGCTTCTCTCGGGCGCATCGAGGGGCCAGGCGCGCAGGGCGTCGCCTGGTTCGACTCGGTCGCAGCGGCGCTGGCGGCCGAAAACATCTCCGCTCCCTCAGAGTTGGCCGAGGCCAAGTTTGAGGATTGATGCTTCTGGGGTGCAGACTTGGACGGGGGCCGGAAGCGACGCGCCCTCGCGGCCATCGTGCCCGCCACGTCCGACGGGGGTTCAGCGCGCCCACGCAGCGCGAGTCGCGCGCGCCCGCTCAGCGCAGGGCGATGCCGCGAGCAAAGGGCAGCCGGCGGCCTCTGGGTCGGCCAGCGGGGGCGCCAGTACCGCTGTCGCGTTTCTCCGGGAGAATGACGAAGTCGTTCGACGCGCCAGCGCGCGATCTCCGCCGCGAAGCGACGCGCGCGTCGCGTCGCGGGCGCCGGCGCCCGCGGCGGTCCACGCGGGCATCAGGGTTTCGCTCCGCAGCGCGAATTAACGTCGAAAGTTTACCCGGTGACCGCTTGCCCCGGCCCCGCCCAGCCTGTCGCGGCGACGCGCGCGCGCCGCTTTGCTTACAACCGTCGCGGCGCAGCGCCGATCTCGTTGATGGGCCGGCCAGCGAAGCGGCCGAGCCGCGGGACTTCGAAAGGTTTCGTCTGCGCAACGATGGCCAGGCGGTCGCCTCGGCACCTCGCCGCGGCGCATCTCGATCGCGACGAAGACGAGGCGGAGTTTTCAGGGGGCTTCCGAAATTTGGCACAGGCGCGGCTCTTCCGCGCTCGCTCGCGCCAGCGCCGCGCTTTTCTCGTCGCGCGAGACCTCGGGGGCGAAGCCGACGCCCGAGCGCGCCCTGCCAGCGCCCAGCCTGCGACGCCTCGCGCGAAGTCGCCGGGCGATCGGTGCCCGCGCCGCTGGCCGGCTGAGCTATAGCGCAGCCGCGGCCCGCCGCGAGGTCACCGCGACGGCGGCCGCAAGCGGCGGGTGCAGTAGGCCGGCCCAGAAGGACTGGGCGGGCTGCTCGCGCTTCGAAGTTTCGTCATTTGAGGCGCGCGGGCGTTTTCAGATGCGTGGGCTTTCGCGCCGCGCTGGTTCCGCTGGTCGCGCGGCGTTGGGGCGCGCTGCAAAACGTGCGGACCATGCCGCGTTATGTCGCGCCGAGGAAGTGCGCGACGCCGACGAGGCCGCGGCCCAGTCGGCCCTGATCGCGGCCGACCCCAATGGCGGCCCCAAGGCGCCTCCAAGGGTGGCAGAGGCCAGCAGTTCCAGCA